CAGTGAAACAGTTATGAAAGAATGTGGATTCAAGGAATTTTGTGACAAGTAAGGTTCAAAGTAACATCTATTCGCATTTTCTTTGTTTGTTCTTGAACATTCAAGCCCGTCGCACTTTTTTCAGTTACAATGCTGCTACTTACAATCAACGTGTCAACTTAACGATTTTCTCCGAGGGACTTTGTCCTATGTGTAATGAGTGGTTTACAAATCATGTTTATCCCAAAGTCTACAAGAACTTTGCTGACTTTATCAACATTGAATATGTGCCCTATGGTAATGCATGGTATAAAGTAAGTCAAGCATGTGGCTATAACGACAAAGTTTTCCTAATTGTGCCAGTTGTAGAATGGAACGATAACTTGTCAACATGGAGAGTTAGAGTGCCGTATTAATCGTTACTTTTCCTGCATAATCGACGTTATGGGGAAACAGGATGTGTATATACCATTTCTACATTGCCTAGATGATTTACTCATTGTAAGAGTGTTTTGATAATTTTACCATAACGTACAGAATTAAATACCTTATCTCGTGACGAAACTAAAATCTTATTACAGCTTCAATGCAGTTCCCTAATTTCCTGTAAATAAGTCGCATCCTCGGAGGTAGCGTTCGAGCAAACCCTGGACTTCGAGTTTTTCGCCATTTCTGGACGATTTTGGCGTGCTGAACACAGTATCAACTTCATTACCGTAAAACTGTCGAAAACAAAGATTCCGGACATTCTTTTCCTTTGAAGACGGAAACGAATGAGGCGCAATTTCAAATTTTCGACTCGTCTTCAAAGCGATCGCATGCCCTCCTCGCTTCACAGCACTGCTTTTGAGAGAACCAAACACGGGTCATGCTAGAGGGGAAATCGCAGAGCGCGGGCTGACTCGAAAATTGGAAGGGTTTTGCTCGCTTATCACGGTGCATTATTCGCCTGAACCAGGAAAACAGTCTTATCAGAGACTCGTTCATCATTGTCTGACGAGAACTTTGAAATTCTTAGTTTTTCCCAGGTACTACGTTTAAGAGGTCCGATTTGGTAGGATCAGCAATCGGCATAACAAACCTCGCTACCCACACCGCACCCACGTGGAATGCGGGCGCTAGAACAACCTGATTCTCACTAGAGGGCGCGCAGGAGTTCCCAAAGCCTCGCTTCTTTTCTGGAGCGAGTATTTAGGCGCCCTGTAGGTAACAAACAC